TGAGGCCTTGGGTTTCGGCGTTGCCGCCGAGTTCGACATCGCCGGAGAGGGAGGCTACGCCGCCCGAGACGATGGAGGCTTCGTCCTTGTAGATTTTGTTCTTGTGTGCGTAGGCGAACGGGGTGTGTTCGATCCAGGCTTCGTTGCAGGCGACCTTGATGGCTGCGGCCTGCGGGGGAAGGAGGGCGGCCAGGAGGCCGAGGGTGCGGATGGGGTGCATCGTGGGTGACGGAAGGGGGAAGGGTGGTTAACCTGGGTTCGGCGGCGCCATGTTCCCCAGGTTTCGGGATCGCAGAAAGAGCGGGATATCCTTATATTCCCCAGATTCCATGTCGTCGGGGCCGTTGACGTTATGCTGCTTTCGGGTATCAAGGCGAGTTGCAGAGAAGTGGCGTCCGCGGGCGAGGGGGATCAATCTCGAAAATGGTCTTGGAAATTGCAATCGAAGAAGGTGCGATCGAAGCGGTGAATTTACCCGCCAAGGTTCGCCCATCGCAAGCCTGGATTTGTGGAGTTGTCAACTTCAGGCGCGTCTCTGCCCCGCATCCCAGGTCTCGGCAATATCCGACGGATACCGGCAGTCGAGGAACGCAGGCAGGGGTGACGCTTGCGGTTTGCCTGGGGAGGTTTATTGTCCGATCTTTGGCGGGATTTTTACTGGCTGGATTGTATATGGCAGCTGCATGACATCAGCTGCGCTGCCATCAGCTTTCCTTGCGGACATCGCGATCCTCTCCCCGTCTGGTTCGTCTACAGAAAGGTTTTGTCTTTTTTTGTTGTGGAGAACCAACGAGGTCGGATGAGTTTCTCCATGCGTTGACAAAAGGGCGCGGGTGCCTGGCTGCCAGGACGCTGGTATCCGGTCGCCAAGGTACGGCACGTATTCCGCGGTCTTGGGCATGGTTGAGGCTAAGATATTGAGATTGAAAAAAATAAGCCCTGATTCCTTGCGGTTGATTGCAGAGGTAAGCGCTCTCAATGCTACGCCCAAGAAATGTCGCGGTGGATCTGGGGTACGAGACTCACTTTCGCCGATTTGGCAATCATACCGCCGAGGCTCTGGTCAGGGCCTTTTTTCTTCTTTCCCCACCAGCGAGCGAAGCATCATGATTGAAGGCACGGGTTTACGTGATCAGGTCAAGTTGATGGACCAGAACAAAGACTTTTCTCAATTGCCTGGGCGATGTTGGAAGAACAAAGCATGAGGAATTCAATGTGTTGTCCCAATTCACACAAACAACAAGTTTGTTTGCACGTTGCCCCTTCAGGTTCCAATTGGGCTTGTCTTCGCCCGAAAGATACATCATGCTTTCATCAATGTCAGCTCGGGCGCAATAACATAAGCACCCAGCTGGATCAACATCTCCAGTTCTCACCGCCACTGTAATTGCCACGGTACAGGGCGTGGCGTAGTTTGCAAGCATACTTGAGAGTAGGAATCCTGCACTGGTGGTATGCATCACGTTCTGACCAATGGGAGTGAAAATTTGACCACCCCCTTGAAGGCGAATCTCTCGAACCTCTTGAGAGACATATCGAGGAGATGGACCTGGGCGATGATGACGTCTCTTTCGATTATGTGGGCTTTGAACTGGTGTCGATGCCCCCCTTTGCTGGGTACAGAGAAGCCCCTCGAATCCCCAAGGGTTCGGTTCCGGCGAGTCACGGTTATCAGAAGGTAAAAAGCTTCCACGAAGCTAGATTCTCCCAAAAACAGGTGGACGGACAGGCGTGGCTTGTGTTGCTACAGAAAATCGGGCAACCACTGGTTCCTTAAAAGGGACCTTATTCTACGCTTGACGGGCTCGGGTTACGTGAAGACCCTTCGGTGGACCACGCTCGGGGGGACGAAATCTTGCAATGCCATTGACCTTGCGAGTCCCGCGTCGTGAGATCCGTGAAGCATACAGACTGAGAATCTGCTGTTTCAAGGTTATCACATCCAGTTATGCTAGTGTTCTACAATAGAAGCTTTGACTGACCCTGCACAAGGCCATCCTCTTGGCCAGGTCTCTTGAACTCGTTCTAGGTCCTCTAATGCGACATCTCTTGGCAGAATGACACCTCAGCGGGCGCTGATTGATAGAGGTGTCAGGCTATCCCTGCACTGCGGAACATGAATCCTTCCGTGGAAACCAACCCCTTTCTAGCACTGCGGGCCCTGCTTGGCCTCTGATACGAGGCTATGAATGATGCCATCAAAACTAGCCTGTGCGCGTCGAGGTATCATTTCCGGGATCGAGGTTGCAGTATTCGATACCTTCTGCAAGACCGACCCCGAATCCCGGTTTTGTGGGCAGCAAAAGCGCCAGTAAGCGCCTGTGAAATCACACTGGATGACCCACCCCGCACCCCCAAACTTGGGGCTCTTGCCGCCCTCTGAGCTGTCATGTCCTGGGAGTGGCCGAGCAGCTGAAATTACATGTAGCATTACGTGTACGTTTTGGGCCACGTTCCGGCCTGCTAAACAACTGCCGAGACGAAGTGGGTTGATATGCAAAGGTCTTCAGCGCTTGGGGAACGTGACAGCGCAGGGCAAGGTCTGGTAGAGCTAATCAAAATCTGCACGCTCGCCCTGCCGAGACTTGGTTATCAGTAGGCAACGATAGCCCAACCTAGGTAGGTCATTCATTCTCGGCTCGGCACGGGAAGGATTCTGTGTAACCTGACCAACAAACGCGATCCACCACATAAAGATATTTGGTCGGGTCGGTCAAGTCGCCACTGCGAATGATGCTCTCCGAGGACTCAGCAATCTCTCTCACCGGTGCGGTTTTTTGCTTTGCATTATGGTTCGGTGCGCTGTTACGTCTCTCGTTACGCTCTTGAGCTCGGCGCTCTGCGTCGCGGCCGCCCCTGGAGGTCATGGCGACGATACTTACGACTACATCGTGGTAGGGAGCGGGCCGGGTGGTGCTCCCGTTGCTGTCAACCTCGCCAAAGCGGGGCACTCGGTGCTTTTGCTCGAGGCCGGCGACGACCAGACGTCTGATGTCACGACTCACATCCTCTCCCTCGGCTTCCCCCTCCCCACCAACCGATGGGACTTCTACGTCAAGATGTACTCTGATGCAGCCCAGGCTCTGAAGAACGATCACTTGACATGGAAGCGCGCCGACGGGTCCCTCTGGGTCGGCAATGGCAGCGCTGCACCCGCCGATGCAAGCCTCCTCGGCGTGTACTATCCCCGGGGTGCCACGCTCGGAGGTTCGTCGGTTATCAACGCCGCCGGAGCTGTACTTCCCAGCCGCAGCGACTGGGACAGAATCGGACAAATCACTGGAGACCGCAGCTGGAGCAACAACAAGTTCCGCAGCATTCTCAAGCGCATCGAGGACAACCACTACCTGCCCTGCGGCACGCCCGGCCACGGCTTCGACGGCTACCTCGACACCAATGGCAACGACGGCACCGTGTGGGAGAACCAGCAAGACCTCGTCAAGGTCTTCCGCTCCATGTCCTCCCTGGTCGGCGGCAATCCGGCCAGCGTCATCCAGGACATTCAACGCGACGTCAACAATGACAGTCCCAACCGTGACAAGACCCAGGGGCTCTTTGGCCTGCCTTTCCACGTCAACGAAACATGGGGCCGCTTCAGCTCTCGCGACATCGTCCGCGCAACCATCGCCGCCAAGAAACCCAACGGCCAGCCCAAGTACCGCCTCACCCTCAAGACCCAAGCCCTCGCCACAAAGGTCCTCTTCGACAAGAAGAAGCCCGGCAAGAAGCCCGAGGCCACCGGCGTCGAGTACCTCGAAGGCCCCAGCCTGTACAGCGCCGACCCGCGCTACAACCCCTCCGCGGCCGGCACCAAGCGCACCGCCCAGGCCCGCAAGGAAGTCATCCTCAGCGGCGGCGTCTTCAACACCCCGCAGCTCCTCCAACTCAGCGGCATCGGCCCCGCCGCCGAGCTTGCCCGCTTCAACATCCCCCTCATCGCCGACCTCCCCGGCGTCGGCGCCCGCCTCCAGGACAACCAAGAGCTCCCCCTCGTCGGCATCGCCAACCACCCCTTCGCCGTGACCCCCTTCCCCGGTGATCCCGTCTGCACCTTCGGCGCCCCCGGCGACCCCTGCATCACCGCCTTCCAGCAAGGCACCGGCCCGTACGCGCGCGCCGGCGTCAACTCCAACGCCTTCCTCTGGAAATCCAACCACTCTGCCGACGGCGAAAACGACCTCCTCTTCTTCTCCTTCCCCAACGGCGCCTTCCGTGGCTTCTGGCCGTTTGAGGCTGAAGTCAACATCCCCCCCGAGGCACCGGGGACTATTGGCATGGCCATGGTCAAGATGAACCCGCAGAACCACGCCGGTACGGTGAAATTGCGGAGTGCAAACCCGCGGGATACACCCGAGATCAACTTTGAGATGTTTGCGGATGCCGGGGCGGAGGTGGACTTGGGCGCCATGGCGGACGCGGCGGCTTGGTCGAGGCAGGTATTCGCCGGTGTGGAGGCGCCGCTGGGACCGATTAGGGCGGCGGAGCCCCGGTGTGCTTCGAGTGTGCCGAGTGAGTGTCGGGTGGGGGATAAGCAGTGGATAAAGGATCAGACGTTTGGACACCACGCGGTGGGGACGGCGGCGATTGGGGCGGATGGGGACGCGAAGGCGGTGTTGGATTCGAAGTTTAGGGTGAGGGGGGTAAAGGGGTTGAGGGTGGTTGATGGCAGTGTGTTTCCTAGGCCGCCGGGGGCGTTTCCCGTGTTGGCGACGTTTTTGGTGAGTGAGAAGGCGTCGGAGGATATTTTGAAGGATGCGTAATTTCAGGCGTCACTTCGGCTTGAGAGAGGGACGGCATCATTTTCTTCTTGATGGGGATGAACACCGTGCAATCCCCGCCAGTTTCTGCCCTCTGGCAACGACATTATGATCTTTAGTCCGTGAACACCATTGATATTCCTCTCAGACCACTTATTTCGTGCAAAGTGTTTGAACAGTGGAGTGGCTGCCAAGGGTGGTGCTGTGGCTATGGTGCAAATGACAGGAGCAAAAAAAGCGACTCGGGCGGGCTGAGATTCGAACCCAGGACTCTCGCTAAACGCTGGAAAAGCAGCGCTGATAAAACGTTTAGTGAACACGCTGTTCAACCACTACGCTACCCGCCCTGTGGCCTTTGGTTAGTTACCTTGAATCGATTCTCTCGTCAAGTATGGGAAGCCATAGAATTGTTGGATGACGAGGTGGCGGGGACAAAGCCTGGTTGGGTCGTGGCGTTTCACACATGAGAGTGTTCTGCCCGCAGACGCGCTGCGAGCCAAGGTATTCGCCCCTAGCAATATTTAGGTGGATCCAGATAGGAGAAAGATATAGCATATGGCGAAAACAAAACTTCCCAAGAGGCTTTACACCCAAGGACCATTGGCGATATCTCGACAAGCCTTTGACGACCTGACGGATCATGCCTTGACATGGCGTCGCAACAGCTGCGTGGCGTGGAAGTCGGCAAAGCCTTGTAGCCGTTTGGACAGAGCGGGTTCCGCAGATCGTGGTGGCCCAAGATATTTCGTCGATGCCAAACTCTCCTTCCCAGTCCCGTGATGGGAGAAATCGGTGTGATCATCATGAAAAGGACAGAACCCCACAAATAGAAATGAAAAGCCCCTTTATAAGCTCCAAGATACATTATAGATTCCTTTCTATTCCTCTCATCACGACAAGCAAGGCCGATGGGAAATGCAATGAGGCATGTGCTTTTCCGACCGGGGTACGGAAGAGCGTCAAATGCTCCTTCCCACTTCACCTCGGTACCGAAGAACACAAAACCTTCCCTCTTCATGAATTTCGGGTACGTATCAAGGTTCACGCGTTGCGACGTCCAGATTGAACCCAAATGAACTTCATCGCGCGCTGATAAGGGCTCCCAGCGGATGCCAGAAAGTTTAACCGCCCGCACACAAATTCTTCCCCATCCCCGCTTCGCCATCCACATTGGACTTCTCAACAAGCCCAGCACCCTCAACTCACAAGTTTCTGATCATCTGCACCAAGATGGGCGAGAAGTCAGAGCTTGTGGATGCCCCCCCCCCCTTCTCCCCTCGGTACTCAGCCGAGGGCAAGACCTGGCCGGTGAAGTCACAGTCCAGCAGATCATAGTTCAGATTCTGGCAGAAGCAGCAGCCATCGGGGACAAGGAAGGAAGAGCAAAACCTAGAGCAGAAGGCAAAGTCTTCTCAGTCCGACAAGTCCGAGTCGGAGACCAAGCCGGAGACCAAAACGGAGTCGGACGTCAAGCCAAAGTCCAAGATCAAGTTGGAGGAGAGACCCGTCAGACGATGCAAGCGATGCGACCGCTCCTTCTTCTGGCCCATTAATCGTTCGGACTTGCAAGAGAACAGAATCTGCGATGCCCACCATCCAGGTTCGTGTTCCCACGTTGACGTGAGCATGTGAGCTAACTCAAAATCTTCCAGGCACATAGCGAACGCTCAAGACGGTGCTTGCTAACAGAGCGGCCAATATGTCAGCCCAATTGGCATTGATGACGATGTGGAGGTCTGGGACCGTTGCCTGAGGGAGGGTTTCTTGACTTGGGGTAAGAAAGCGCAAGAGGTTGCTGAAGAGGAGTTGCTTTTTAGCCCCTGCGCCAAGACCAGCGAAAAGCACATTTCTGTCGGGCCTGTGGCATAAACGCGCTGTGAGAATATACGATTTCATGACTCCCGGTGTCAACCCACAACCGCTGCAACTCGCATGGCGTCACATGCACCGTCCAACATGCAACGCCCATCTTAACCCCTGAATCGATCCAACATCCCATCTCATCTCTCCCTTACCCCGTATACCACTCCCTCTCCCTCACCATCCAAACCAACCCTGTCCCCGCCAACACATATGGAATCGCCGCATCCCGCAACGTAACCGTCTTCCAAACCACCATCTCAGTCACATACAACCACAACACCCCCACAAACGAAAATATCGCCAGCGTGTACACCTCCTTGTTATCAAGGTGATACGCCGCATACAGACGGATGAGCATGGTGTAAAAATTCTTCAGGCCATAAACATGCGCCAAGAGCGTTGTTGGCGGCGGCGCGCGAGGGCCCCGGAATTGGGCGTTGGAGATGGTGGGCGAGGAGATGTAACAGACGATGGTGTGGATGAATGCGGCTACGGCTTCCTGTTGGTAAAAGCACTACGTTAGATTTTCAAGGTTGTTGGTTGATAAGGGTGGATGTTCTTGTTTGTGGTGTTTGCCGTTTTGGGTGGTGGTTGAGGCGTGCCCGATTGGGATTTGGGGATGCTGTTGGTTTCCATTTCGAGCTGAGCTTGACGGCCTCGGGCGTGCGTGCATGCTGCGAGCTGGTTTTTGTTGAACGGGTGCAGATGGGATGCCTATTGGCTTGGACTTACGTAGAGGAGAAAGTATGGGAGATACCCATTTTGGACGGATGGGAGAATCGCCATGTTGGGGTGACGGTGTTGTTTTGTGCCAAATGTTGGAACTCTCAAGTCGTTCAGTGAGGCTGTTGTTTTTCTGGAAAGTTCGCGATGCGGCGCGATTGAGATTTTGGGGGCCATTTATAGGGCAATCCAGCAGCGAAGGAATCGAAGGAGTGTTGACTAATCCCTGGTTGCTACCTTTGCTAGTCCAAAATGAGCAAATCATCGTCTTGCATTTGCTAGGGAAGACCGAGCGAGCCAGTCAATCCTAGCTAGTATCGCGGGTTCTTGGCTTTGGAAGTCGTCGAAGTCCGTAACTTGAACGTCACAAATGTTCCCATCGCAACGATATCAACAAACGACTGTTGAGACGGCGTAGCTTAGTAAGTTTCCCAACTTGCCATTTCCTGTGTTACCGGGTTCGCGAGTTGCCGAACTCGGCGCAGCACTTGCCTCATCGCTGCACCCTTCTTCCCTTTGTGCCCCACTCGACCAAGATCTCTCCCGTCGGAGGATGATTAGACTCGATTGTATCAGATTGGCGTTCTGCCCCAGGTTCGATGGAAATAGCAAATTCGCATCATACGGGGGCCACGGGCTCGTGATAGCATTGCGTCAAGTTCTTTTGTTGCACAACGCCATACCTTCCCCATCCAAATCTCGCGGCTGACATAATCTCTCAGGAAAAGCTGGATCGGGTGGCTGCTGTCAGCCAGGAAGGGACGGATTCAATGCATAGCATGTCGTGTGCCATGGGGGCTATCTCAGGGCAATGGGCAAAATGCAGACAGCCATTCCTCCATCTGCACCACTGCGGCGGTGAGACGGAATCTCCCATCCCATCCAACAGCTCGCTCCGACCAACCACAGCGCCAACCACAGCTTCGAGCTTGGCCTGTGTTACGCAAAGTACCGTGCAAGTAATCACGCCAAGTGGCAGAACATGCGGGTGAATGCCCCAACGCTGACACCGCGGAAGGGACGGCGCGGCAGCAATGTTGGCTCCCTATGAACCTTTTTCGTTTTCTCATTTCTGCTACCATTTTACGCTTTTCCCCCTGAGGCCGCGTTGAAGCCAAATGTGACCTGTCGCGGTGGTTGGTGGCTGGCATGCAAACTTCCACCAGTTGAGCAGGTCAAAACAAGGTTGTGACCTCAGCTGCGGGCGGGGACCTGCTTGAGAATGCACAACAGCCCTCCCGATTTGGAGGCGGGCGGCCGCGGTGCATGCGATGGCGTTTTTGCGGTCTCGACATAACAAGGGTGTTCCCGTTGCCGAGCTCAGAGGTTAGCCACGGGATTGGCCTTGACCCCGCCGTAACCGCCTGAATCCTTCCATCGACCACCCTGCAAGACAGTCAACAGCCTCAACACTCGGACCAGCTCGACCCGGGAACACCAGTAAATGACTCTGCAGAATCGGGCATTTTCCCCAGGACGGCGAGATTAATTACTAATTGATCGCCTCGTGATTTGTGGTCTGCCTGTCTGCTTGCCGCCGAGTCCGAATTGCTCGGAAAAAATAGAGGCGGTCCGAGAATAGCTTGGCAAGGAACTGGAAATCCGGCACTGGAATTTGGTTTGGGTCGGTAAAGAGTCCAAACCAACGGCATCGATGAGGAACGTTTATGTCAAACTTCTCAGGATGGGAGATTCGTGCACGTGGAAGGCGCGACCAGATCTCATTCCCACCCCGTGGTGGCTGTGCCTCTGCGTGGGATAGAATCCAGGGCAGAAGCATCTGTTTCGAGCGATTAGTTTCACCTTGGTAAGCTGCAATGGTAGGGCTCGCTTCCGTTTTGTAGGAGGATGGTGGCTGACGACAGTTGGGGGTTGCTTCGGGCCCAGGCTTTCAGCATTGGCACAAATGGCTGGTAGGGCTGGAAATGTTATCTTGACTCCGTACATAGATAACATGTGGCGGCGGTGTCAGCGTTTCATCCTGCGCTGATAGAAACCAGCGCCGGATCATCGCTGGGCGATGCAGCAGATCAGCTGCTTCACTGCCAGAGAGCCGTCGCGTTTGAAGCGGGGACGGCGCCAGTCGCAGGACGCTTGCCTCTGCCTGGCATCCACCAGCGCCCGAATGATTGGCCGGAACAGCGCCGGTTGTGTCGCATCATGACTGGACTGTCGAAGAGGTGCCCATTTTTGGGTTTTGGCGAAACCAGCGGGCGATGGCGTCGAGGGATGGCGGGTCCAGAACGCCAAGCGCCTAGGCCAAGCCGGCCACCTCGGGCTGCGCATTTGAGCGCATTTTGGCGGTTTGGCATTTGGCAGCAGATGGGCAAACCGCGCGGGTGAGGTGTTCGTCTCAACACCCGACACTAGGCTCCATTCCGCCGCCTGCTGGTTTCCGTCCGTTCCTGCTATCGATGGAGGGGATGCAACCGTGGTAGGACGAGCGGCCGACTGTCTATTCCGTGCAGTGCCGCATACTGACGGAACACAAAAGTGCAGATGCGTGCACGCGCAATCTGGATCATCTGGAGAAACAGCCTGCCCGATCAACCCGATCAACTGGGACAGCCCTAAAATAGCAGCCGAGGCCTTGGGGCGACCCTTCTGCGCGCCTGCCCACTCTCCTTCTCCGCTGGCTAGCTACCCGCCGGCGGCATGACAGCCAACCAGAGACGGTCTTGCAGCATCGCTGCCAAGCTTTGCGGGCCCAGCCCAGGCTGCCGAGGGACCCTAACGCTCTTTGTTCCCCGTGTGTGTCCCA